AGCAGGGATGTAAGCTGTGTCCAAATAGATTCTGAATTCTACAGACTCATCAACCTGAAGCAATGAATCATTCAAAATGACTTTGTCTCCTTTGGGACAACGACACGTATTCAGTATTTACGTAGCTTATTCTTCTATATATACATATGCAAAGCTTTCCTTAACGGTAAAGGGTACATATGCATAGTGAGAGATCGGACCTTTACAGGTGAGGGAAAGCACCTTCAGAAATGAATTATTTTCTTTGCTTTATTATTTTTACCAAGACAGAGAAGTATTGTATTGAGAGATATCTATTTTCATAATCAATATGTGCCTAAATTATATTTAAATCATTTTGCTCTGTACTATATTTTCAATAATTATAGGATGTGTTGTTCATCCACTTAAGGGTACCTCTGTAGACTTAACCTAAAACTGCAGAAGAATCTGAAAGATCGAAACATGGTATGCTTAGAAACTGCAGATTTTGGATCTAATGTATACTGCATTAATAAATGATATGAAATGTTGAAAAGGAGTTTCTAGTCGTTCTTTTGAAAATCGACCCTTGACCATATTTTGCTTACATTTCTTCAGCGTAAGTTGATGACCAGCCCCGAGGGTCTTGGTGGAAAAGGAAATCCAGCAACACTTCAAATGGATTAGTCTCTGAAAGTGCCATTAAAGCAAATTTACTCCTTCAAGCGAGACTTTTTTATGACCCTCTTTTTAAAATCCTTTTAAAAAGGCTAACAACACAAATTTCATTAATTCTGAAAAGACAAGACTGCCTTCCAACGATTCATTTGTGTTGCTCTCTAGCCGATCCACGTTACAAGTTAGACTGATTAAGTTGGTTGAGTACATTGTCCCCAAAACATTCTCACCTGATGCCTAGAGAGAGAATTTTGAGGGAGGAGTTTCAAAATAATACAACTTCTACTAAGCCTAGTGATAAAACATGTCTGTACAGAGGTAAAAACACAGTTGGGAGCAGGGGACTAGAAAATCTAAAGGAGATTATGCATACTGATACAGAATTATTTGGAGCCTTGTGTATTATGTTGGAACATCCAGTTCTTTCAACTACAGCTTCAAAGAAATTTTAGTAGGAAATATTGTAATTTCACTTTCTTATGAAGGGTACTATCATAAATCAAGACATGGGATATTTTCTCCAGTTGCTCATTTTATGAACTGGTGGTTTATACTATAAATCTACCCCCACGTCAACTTCAAATCAGGTTTAATGAAAAGCCCTAGAATTTTATTAAATTTCCAGGGAGGTATTATCTTTAAAATTAAAAAGGTACACCTCTACAAAGATAAGTGGTTATGTTATTTTCTGCATAAAACACCTTAATGCAAGGATTAATTCTCTGAAAGCCTTTCAAAACCTTTAAATATGTCAGCAGGAGTTCACCAAGGACTCTTCCCGCTGAGATTTTAAATTGGGAAAAAGAGGCTTGCATCTGTCACTCATCAAGATTACTAAGTCATTATTGTAGCATTTTAATAATTTTTAGGTGTTTCTTTTAATGTTGAAAATGGAACCGTTTTCCCTCCATAGCCATATACTTTAAGATCTAGAAGTTTCTAAATTGAGAAAGAATTGACAATGATAAAATCCAATCACTTAAACCCAGTTTACTAAATTAAACTTCATGATAAATGTATCTATCCTTGGAACTATGAAAAGTTTCAAAGTGTGTCCCTCAACATCAAAATTCCATTAGTTGCATATTCGATCTCTTCCTTGGTGCTGTAGAAAATAAATTTGGCCTTTGCCCTATGGATCTACGAGATCTAAGAAGATGCGGATTTCGCATCACGCATGTTGAGTGCATTCACATAACGTGTAGCTGTGTTCATCTAAAAATTTCAAAACATGTTTCAAAAACAATACCAACTGGTAGGAATAACCTACAAGAAACTCACGGATGCTTAAACCAAAGCTAAGTGATTAATGTGACGCTAAAGGTCAGAAGTCTTCACTCCGGTTTCGTTGGTTCTGCTCCAAGACCACATCTGCTGGGGCAGCGCTGTTAGAAGAAGCACATCTCTTAGCAAACAGGCTATCAGTTGGACAGTTTAAGAACTGTTCAAACATAATGAGCTCCTGTTGAAAAAGAGCCTCTCCTTCCCTTTGTATTATAGTGAGATGCGATTACTCTTTCATGTCAGAATGGCACTTAAATTATTCAGTCTAATAAAATAATTAAGTTAAATCATTTTAAAAATTCTTTCTTTACAATTATACTTGAACGCTTATCCCCTTCTCTAGCCTATCGTGAGAGTCTGACAACCTCCACACAAATGGCTGGGTAAAACAGTTTCTTTGGGGAAGAAAACATTGCTCTTTATACTGACATCCTTGCAAATGTAATTATTCTGGAAGAATATCATGAGTACATGATTGTCTTCCCCCAATTTACCCTTGGGCAATGAATGATTGGTTTAGCATCCTACCAGAGGAGAAATTGCCAATCCCGGCTCTAAAAGGAAAAAAACATCTAGTTATTTTGAAGCATTCTACTGTTTAGCTCATCTCGCAGGCCTTACAGACAATTAATTGTATATGAAGGTTTAATTCCATGTCAGATAAAACATATCACTGATGCAGAAGTAGAGGAAGCATTAAGCCTCATCTTGTTTAAAGGTCCTTACTTTTTAGGCATTCATTCAACTTTATCGAATTGCCTGAATGCTGACTGGATTTATCAAACTGATAAATCTGATGCTAGGGATTTAACAGATGTTTAAATAAGATGGGATCCTTACTACCATGAGTTACAACCCAAGGGTAAATTAGGGGAAGACAATCCTGTAGTCAAATAAAAGTAATCACGAGTAATGGTTCTCTCTTTCTTTTGTAAACCTTATACTGTGTAAATAAAATATCCCAAGGGTTCCCTGCTGGGTTGGAACACCCATCTGTAAAGTTTGGATAGTGATATCCACTTGGTGGAAGTGTTGTAATGGGTGAGGCTGGTCTCATACACGTGCCATTTAACTACCTTTTCTCACCTTTGTGTTACCACTGCCTTTAGCCCGGTGGCTTGCATATTTTAACTCAATAAGTATCTACTAAAGTGAGTCAAACCGTGGATCCAAGTAGGTTCCAGGTGGTCTTGGGCTTAGTGTATTCGAACTACAGTGTTTCTCAACTTTCCGATACTATTAGCAGGCTTTCAAGATAAGTGAAGAAGGAACCTGGTAGGTAGGAGACTGTGAAATGTTCAGACTCCCACTATCTTCTTTAGGATCATATATGCGTATAGGTAGAGTGCCAATAATCACTTCTTCTTATTTATAAATCAGCTTCTCTTACAAATGAAGAACCGAGGAGCTGAGACCAGCTCCCAGGCATCCTGACTGAACTCCTTTCTGTACTGATTACATGGTTTCCTTTGGGAAAGCTTTTATGTGTGCATTTAACATCACTTAATGTACGGCAGCTGTTTTCCCCAAACTCTGGCTAGGTCTGTCCGTGTCCTCAAGAGAATCCAACCTAGCTAGCTAGATTTTAATCTGTGAATTGTGGCTTCAGCTATAAAAGGCTTAGCTGAGGTTTTAATGGCCACGATTTAAGTAAATTTAACAGATACACCAGTGGGTGTTCCAATTACATACACTATTAAAGGTCTTTCTGTGAGGATTTTAAAAAAATTACTATGAAAAAAACCAAAACCATAGTCCACAGGCGGTATAATTTACCAGCAGGAAAGATTTCAGTCCTAGAAAAGTTTCATATAAAAAGGAAGCTAAGACAATGAAAACTCACAGAACTCCACAAACCCAAAAAGAAGCTCGGGATTCTTTTGGCTCCTTGTCCCCAAACAGGTAAAATGCTTTGTATTTCTAGCATGTGTTTTTAGACTGCATGCTTTTGTCTGTCTATAGGGCATTTTGTACCCAAAGGACAAACTCCAGGTGTGACAGTATCTAAAGAAATCTTGACCTTCATGGTCCTTGTCACCCCTGACCACAGAGATCCAGCCTTTGGGGAATGAACAACTCATGGACCAGTATTTGATTTTGTCTTTAGCCTTTTGCCCATCAGATGAAAATTAACTTGAAGACTCTGAGAATTCCTCATGTCATTAGCTAATTCAGGACTGCCTTGGCCACGGAGGCATCTGGTCTGAGACTTGGTGCTTTGAAAGGTGTTGAGTTCTCTCTCACACTCACAGATGGTCCAGCCCACACTTAAGTGTGGAGGGTACTCAGCAAAATGTAATTAGTGCCACAGTGTAACCATTTAATGTCATACAACTTTATATTAGCCAGAGATTCCTACCAAGAGCTACCTTTCCAAGCAGATGGCCCAATTCTCTTTATCTCAGGAACTGATACAGTTAGTTGGAAACTAATCACTTGAGGGGGATCTGGGAAATGTTAAGGCAAAAAGGTGAACTTGATAGGGGAAGGAATCATGGAGTTTGGATAATTAAATGAATACTAAAAATAAAAATAGACTAGCTTCTTACTAAAAAGTACTGAGCACGGGGCCCCTGGGTGGCTCAGTTGGTTGAGTGTATGACTTCGGCTCAGGTCATGATCGCGGGATTTGTGAGTTCGAGGTCATGATGGCAGGATCTGTGAGTTCGAGGTCATGATCTCAGGGTCTGTGAGTTCGAGCCCCGTGGTGGGCTTTGTGCTGACAAAGCATGGAGCGGAGCATGGAGCCTGCTTCTGATTCCGTGTCTCCCTCACTCTCTGCCCCTCCCCGACTTGTGCATGCATGCACTTTCTCTCTCTCAAAAATAAATAAGCTTTAAAAAAATTAAAAGCACTGAGCATATAAGTTCAAAGTACTGCCTTTATCTCCGGTGGCTAGGAAATCCTGAGGCAAGCAAGTGGGGTGTGTATTTGAGCGTCCCAGGGTGAAAAGAGACCAAGGCTACTTCTATCTTCTGCAGGGTTAGTTAGCATATAAACGTCAGACTGCTCACCAAAGAGGTCTCTACTTCTTGCTCAACCCAGGCTGGGGCTCTTCTGACTGCTGCATCCTGTTTCTCAGAATGGAGGCGATTCCAAAACTTGTCGCTGGACTTCTTCTGCTGACCTTCTGTGTGGCTGGCTGCTCCAGCCAACACTGGTCCTATGGCCTACGGCCGGGGGGAAAGAGAAGTGCTGAGAATCTGGCTGATTCTCTCCAAGAGGTAAGTCTCTTTCATCTTCAAAACTGAGACAGGGCTTATGTTGAGTCAGTCCACGTGAACGGTCGGTGTGTGGCCCCCACAGGGCTAGTCTGGGGCCCCCCTACCCTAGATATTCTGGGAGATGAGACACTCACAAACTCCGGTCCCATTCCTGCTGCAGTTCAGACGGGGACCAAGGAAACAGAGGGCGGGAACAACCTCATGAGAACACGGCAACGCGGGTGAAGGAGTGTGCGGTGCTCAGAGTATCCAGAAGGGCCAAAGGGATTCGAACCAATGGGATGGACCCAAGGTGTCTAGAGCAAGAGGATTCCATGGGATTTGGGAAGAAAATCTGAGCACCTCTGCTGACTTTGTTTTTCTTATTTCACCCTTTATTTTATTTATTTTATTTTTTAAATGTTTTATTTATTTCTGAGAGAGAGAGAGAGAGAGATTGACAGCGTGAGCAGGGGAGGGACAGAGAGAGAGGGAGACACAGAATCTAAAGCAGGCTCCAGGCTCTGAGCTGTCAGCACAGAGCCTGATGTGGGGCTCGAACCCACGAACCGTGAGATCATGACCTGAGCCGAAGTCGGACGCTTAACAGACTGAGCCAGCCAGGCGCCCCTCTTATTTCACCTTTTAAAAGTATCTGTGACACTAAGTCAGTGGTACATTTTCATAACTTATAGATCAGTAGCCTCATCAAGCGTGCACGCCCTATCATTTCTTTTTACTGAAATGGGTGTTTCAGCAACGAAGTTGGAGGCTGCCAGAGGGGAGCGGCTAGCAAGCTCAAGGACACAAAATACATACTGGAAAACGTGCTGGATTCGACTTCATATGAATCAGATGTCAGTACTAGTACCAGCACTAACATAGAGTACTTGGTGTTTTATCTCTAAAATGAGACTTCCGGGGGTCATGATCACATGAGAGAGGCCTTAGATGTTAGCTGGCTAACCCCCAAAATGAAAGCAGATTAATAAAAAACAGTTGCTATTGTTTATTTTTATTTATTTTTTCATGTTTAGAAGACACATAGACATTTTATTTTTTGAATGTTTTATTTATTTTTGAGATAGACAGAGCACGAGCTGGGGAGGGGTAGAGAGAGAGGGAGGTACAGAATCTGAAGCAGGCTCTAGGCTCTGAGTTAGCTGTCAGCACAGAGCCCTATGTGGGGCTCAAACTCACGAACAGTGAGATCATGACCTGAGTTGAAGTCAGACGCTTAACCAATGAAGCCACACAGTTGTCCCTCTCTTTTTTTTCTTTTAAGTTTATGTATTTATTTTGAGAGAGACGGAGAGAGAGAGAACCCAAGCAGGCTCCATACTGTCGGCACAAAGCCCAATGTGGGGTTCAGACTCACAAGCCTTGAGATCATGACCTGAGCCAAAATCAAGAGTAAGAGGTTTAACTGACTGAGCCACCCAGGCACCCCGGATATTGTTTCTTAAAGTAATGGGAAACGAACAGGCCCTAAGGGATAAGCAATCGGAGGCTTGGACACTTACTATAGTGCAATCTGAAGTCTCCTTTCCACAGATTATATGTGAAGTAAATCTTATTTAACTCTGACACATTTCATTAAAACTTGAAACTAAAAATCACCCTCTTCATAACTCAATGCTCCTAGATTTTTTGTAAACCGTCTCCTCATGAGGTTCGAAGTACTTCATTCTCATCATCTCTTGGGAGAAAATATTCTCTCTCCTTATTACCACCATTACCTCCAGAACCCTCCCAACCCATCCATTCAAATGTCTGATGGAGAATCTATCTTCTCAGATGATCCTCTTGGCCTCACTTTCCACACACAATTTTGGGTCGAAGTGGATTTCTTTGTCTCCATCAGCAAGAATCACGTTCTGTTTCCTCAGATAGCCAAAGAGGTTGGCCAACCCGCAGAACGCCAGCACTTCGAATGCACCATCCACCAGCCGCGTTCTCCCCTCAGGGACCTGAAAGGAGCTCTGGTGAGTTACAGCGGTGATGACATGGGGCCTTAGAGAGGAACAGCTCCTTGGTGTTCCCTCTCAGGCTGTCCACACAGGACAATCAGCTCTCAGCCTCCACAGGGCCCACCTTCCCGACTGCCTGAATTCCTCTCAGGGTAGGGCCTCACTATTTTTTTTTTTTTTAAATGTTTTATTTATTTCTAGGAGAGAGAGAGAGAGAGACAGCGTGAGCAGGAGAGGGTCAGAGAGAGAGGGAGTCACAGACTGAAACAGGCTCCAGGCTCTGAGCTGGCAGTCAGCACAGAGCCCGACGCGGGGCTCGAACCCACGAACCGCGAGATCATGACCTAAGCGAAAGTCGGACGCTCAACCGACTAAGCCACCCAGGCGCCCCAGGGCCTCACTATTTTGTGACACCATCTTTCAATGGTCCCGCAGTTCTAATAGGTAGCACCTTATCTCCCTTTAAATTGAAATCTCTCTGTAACCTTTATCTCATATTGGTTCTGGACTTTGGGACGACTGAAAATTTCTTTCCACTGTTACATTTCCGTTCTTCAAGTATGATTTGCCAACCCCCCTTTCCCAGACTATACTAATCTAGGCTAATCCACACCTCTCCACCAGATTCCTTAATTCTTCACCAGTGTTCTTGGTATGATGTGGTTTTTCCCTGGAAAAATGAGGAAATCAAAAACGGTGCTCTGGGTTTTTTTTTTTTTTTTTTTCCCTTTGGATAAAAGAATACCAGACTGGTAAATTTATAATTCAGAGCCACATATTTGATTTCCAATTTTTTTTATTTTAGAGAGAGAGCAAGCAAGGGCGAGCATGAGCCTGGGAGAGGGCAGAGGGAAAAAGAGAAAGAGAGAATATTAAGCAGGCTCCATACTGAATGTGGAGCCTGACGCAGGGCTTGATCCCAGACCCTGGAATCAGGGCCCGAGCTGAAATCAGGAGTTGAACGCTCAACTGACTGAGTCGCCCAGAGACCCCTGGTCTCTATTTTTCTGACTGGACTGTAACAACCTCCACGTCCCCACTCAAACTGGGAATCTACTAACTTAATGTAGGTTTTTGATAACCCAAAAACAAGTATATAGAGAACTGAATCTAGAAACTGAACCTTGAGCTCACCATTGGTGCTCGGAGCTCCATGGTCCATGTACCTGCAGCAGTTAGGGGCACAGCAGTTAATTAGCAGTTATGCCCAGGAGCAGGGAAAGCCTGAATAAATCATACATAAAGATAAGCTATCATTTTCATTTTCTCCATTGACCTCAACTTCGACAGCCACAGCTCAAAGAAAAAATGCAGACAGACATCTTTATTTGCTTTTTCTTTCTATTTCTACCTACCACAGAATAAAAATAATGGCAAGCAGTGACATTTCCCAACATGGAATTAGAAGGAATTGAGACAAAAATGGGTTAATAACAACCTGAGATCAGACCTTTCTTTCATTCTTTTCACATCTTATCCTTCAACTATTAATGTAGATTTTACTTAAAGAACTTAAAAACACACGATCTGTTCTCTATCTAGCACTTTCTAGCACACAAAAATTAATGGATCTCTTCCTTCGGTATCGATATTTTAGAAATGAAAATGTCAAAAGCATAACGGAATTCAGCTAGTAAAATCAACCTTGATATACATTTGTTGCTCACATATTTTTCAGGAAAGTCTGATTGAAGAGGAAACTGGGCAGAAGAAGATTGAAATCCACTGAATCAGAAGGATGGACAACACAAATATAATTCTGACCTTGAAATATGTGACCCATGTAACAGCTGTACCTTGTGTGAATTTCAGATATGCATATGCTAAGTTCATGTATTTCATAATGAAGTGCTGTGTTGTGAATAAAGTGGCATAAATGTTAAGGCTGATGCAGAACTTTGGTGGCAGAGGGGCCCTGTAGCCCCATAAAGGGGAGAACTCTTGAGTGTGGGGCAAAGGAGATGGAAGATAACATAAAGTCGACATTATTGTTGACTAAAGAAATCTCATGGCCCTCCACCACCACCACCCTGCCCCAAGTGCAGTCACCTGTTGGTCTGGGCGCCCAAATCTAACTCAGCAGGAGTTTTGTGTGCTAGTGTAGCTTTATTTTGGACCATACTCTCTAGAAGTGAGAGAGTATGCCAAGGTTCCCTCCCACTTGCAAAGCAGTTTCCTTCTCAGACGGTCTTCAATCCCTTTCAAAGTCAACTGGAACCGGAGACAGGCTTAGACAGAAAGAAGGCACTGCTGGACTCCTAGTCCAGTGCTCCTTCTGGCTGTATGTGGCCTCCATGTTTTCACCATAGCCAAGTGGTGCATGCTGAGGGTTGGCACCCAGGCCTAGAAATAATCATTTTCAGCTGCCAGATCTTTTTGGGCTCTCTTGTGAGAAATGCTATGGAATACAGCATCTTCCTTTGAAAGTGAGGAAACCATGGATTAAGGGATTCACTCAGTTCTGTTGGGGTTACACGGGCAGAGCTCCAGTATTGCACCACGATAAGCAGCTGATGGTGTTGGACTTGAACGCTAGCACCTATTGTGTAAATTGGATATTTTGTTAATTGGACCTGAAACAGGATCGTGGGGCTCATGGATCCACCTAGTGTATTGGTGATCAGTTTTTTAGAAGGTCCCAGACACTGCTACCAGTTCTCAATTATCCTCATAACTCCCAAGTGACTATGAGACCATTTGAAAGGCTGTAATTTCAGATAAGCTGCCTGATGTCGCAGCAGCACATCGCAGCAGCCTACATTCACATGACCACCATCAAGGTCCTTCCCCTCTTGCAATCAAACAGATGGTGCCTTCGCCTGCCCCTCCCCGCCCCTCCACCTCCAGAAAGGGCCTGGCAGTGTTAAGGAATTTGACCTGGGGTCAGAAATGGTCAGTGGTGGAGAAGTCCTCCTTTTTTAATACAGATCTGCCCAAGGCTAGATTCCTCCAATATCTCCATTTAAGGAATCTCTAAACCTGTATCAGAGAACCTCCTTCCTCCCCCTTTAATACAATTAGGCAGAGATGTGGATCTACAACCTGCTTTTTTTTTTTTAATTTTTAATGTTTTTTATTTATTTTTAGGAGAGAGAAAGACAGTGTGAGCAGGGGAGGGTCAGAGAGAGAGGGAGTCACAGACCGAAACTGGCTCCAGGCTCTGAGCTGGCAGTCAGCACAGAGCCCGACGCGGGGCTCGAACCCACGAACCGCGAGATCATGACCTAAGCGAAAGTCGGACGCTTAACCGACTAAGCCACCCAGGCGCCCCTACAACCTGCTTTTAAGACACAAAGTCAAAACCGCATTTCACTCAATACATACAAGGCAGGATGAGAGGCTTCAGTCTGCCAGTCACTCAGTGATTGGCAAACAATCATTTTTTTAACCATAATTCTTGTTAAATTATTATGTTAAAGGTAGTATCACTGTTTTTGTCAATAACAGCAACACCATTTACAATCTTTAGTTAATGCACTGAAAAACAGGACGACAGGGTTGCTTTTGGGGAGGGGGAGGGGCAGAGGGAGGGAGAAAGAGAATCTTAGGCAGGCTCCGTACTGTCCGCTCAGAACCACCGTGAGGTCATGACCCGAGGAGAAATTAAGAGACAGACACTTCAGTGACTGCACCACTCTGGTGCCCCGCCACTTATCCTTTACATCCTGTTTGGAGTCTTGGCTTTTCTCTGCCAAGGCTTGTCTTTGGGCAATTTCTCCGCAGGCAGCTGTGGGCTTCCCTGAATGGGCTGCAAAGAGGCTGATGAGCGCATGTGAGTGGCTTGGGATGGCTTCCAGGGGTTTGTGACTTACAGGAGCATGTTGGAGGTTTGATTCTCAAATGGCCAGATGCCTAGGGACAAGGAGAGTAAAAATGACCCCTTCGTTAAACTGTTAGACATTTTCCTGAATCTGAACAACTCTCTACATCATATATGCTGCTTCAAAAAAGTTTGCAGCCTTTCAAAATGAAGGGTGGGGAAACATACCAAATGTTCTCTTTAAAAGTTCTCAAATATATATATGGATTTAAGTGCGTAAGTACCAAAAAGAGTGGCTTGAAGATAGGCCATTTTAGCCAAGGGTTTAGTCTTATAAAAACAACTTGGAAAAAGCCAAGAATCAGCATGAAACAACAGCGTTTATAATTTTTTAAAAATTTTTTATTTATCTTGAGAGAGAGAGAGAGAGACAGTACATAAGCAGGGGAGGGGCAGAGAGAGAGGGAGACACAGAATTCAAAGCAGGCTCCAGGCTCTGAGCTGTCAGCAGAGTCTGAGCCAGGGCTCGAACTCATAGGCCACATGTGGCCTCCATGGGCTGAAGCTGGAAGCTCAACCAACTGAGCCACCCAGGCATCCCTATAAATTTTGACAGTGGATGATGCTCTAAAGTAAGATTTTTTTGAGATTGAGAGAGAGAGAGAGAGAGAAAGAGAGAGAGCGGGCAAGCCTGGGGCGTGGGGGTGGGGCAGGGCAGATAGAAAGGGAGAGAGAGAGAATCCCAGTCTCCACACTGTCAGCACAGAGTCCGACCCAGGGGCTCCATCCCACAAACCACAAGATCATGACCTGAGCCAAAACTGAGAGTCAGACGTCTAACCGACTGAGTCACTCAGGCGCCCCTAAAGTAGGATTGCTCTCTGGAGACCCTAAATCCAAAAAGATCCTCCAGCCTTAGTGATTCAGTCTTGGGGGCCCAAACCATCTGCATGTTGAATATGCCGGGGCTGCTTTTGTACACAGTGGAGCATTATTGCTCTAAGACGCAATAGATGGCAAATGTTTAAAAGCATTGGGACATTTTCTTAAAAGAAAAAAAAAATCTTAGGCATAAGCCCAGGACTTAAAACAGTGTGGCTATTCTAACTGAAGTGTGGCTGCCTCCCTTCTCTAACATGACCTACCACCAGCAGGGAGTTTAAGAAATGAGCATCCATTTTGAATACTGATTTTTTTCATGTTGTTATTTTCTTTAAGGTAGTAGTTTTCAGCCTTGACCTAACGTTGAAATAACATGGGGAGATATTTTTTTAAAGTTTATTTATTTTGAGAGAGAGAGAACACAAGGAGGGGAGGAGCAGAGAGAGAGGGAGACAGAATCCCAGAATCTCTGCACTCTCAGTGCAGAGCCAGTGTAGAGCCCAATGTTGAGCTCGAACTCACGAATTGTGAGATCATGACCTGACCTGATATCAAGAATCGGACGCTTAACCAACTGAGCTCCCTGGAGCTCCATTATGGGGAGGTTTTAAAGAAATATGGTGCCTCCCCTCTCTTCGAAATTGATTTAATTGATCTGTGGTGTGGTGTGGCCTCTTTTTATGTGATACTACTGTTTAACCAGTTTCAGAATTGCTTCCTGTCCTTCCCAAGTAAGCTATTAGCTATTCTTTTTATTTCCCTTTACCTCTGCAGTGAGTGAATGAAGAAACAGAATCCATCTTATAAATGAATTATTGTCAGAAGCCATTGGCTCCAATGACAAAAGCATGGATGGAGGGGAAAGGACCAAACGGTCTGCAGTTTTTATTGCATCCAGGTAAAGATGACTCCATGACCCCATAGGACGAGTCTAAACTAACAGGACTCATAATGAAATGAGGCCAGAGGGACTGGGTGTGATGTGTCACGAAGGAAGTATCCATAAAGAAAAGTCCAGGAATGATTTTGTTTCGTTAACATAAAGGCAATAACAAACTAAACACAATAAGCTTCAAAATACATTTTCATTTTTAATTTAAAAAATAAATAACAGCAAATCTGAACAAAATTTTTCTACTTCAATGCACATCTTCCTAACGGTCCCTGTTTGAAAACCAGCTAGTTATAAAATCCTGGCAACAGAGCCTCTGACAAAGTTTGCATAAACAACTCACAAAATTTGACTAATAGGGGAGTTTAGGCAGCATATGTGGGAGACCAGCTTTGGCCGGATTGTAAGAATCAGGCTGAAATCATCAACTTAAAAGGAAAACTATCTTTTTCCTTTTGTAGATTAAAACTGGTGGTACCACTCTCAACCCACCCAAAGAGGAACTTACCTTTTTCAACTAATTTTAAAAACCCACTCGGTCAATGGTGCACGGGCCTAAAATCTGTTGTACAGAAACAGTTTCCTTCTGCTTCTCTCTCTCATTCACTTAGAATCAAAGAAAGCTAGAGCCAAAAGGATTCTAAAAATCATGTAGCCTCAAATATGTATCTTTGTTTTACATGAGGAAATTGAGGCCCAGGGACTGACTACAAGTTGACTTGCCAAAAGGTACAAGGTCTTTTTTCTGTCCTGTTTTGTGTTGATAGGGGAGGGGGGAATTCCCCGCTTTTTTCATTATACCTGACAAGCGAGGGGAAGGTAGGTACAAATGTCAAGGGCCTTCTAAATGCTTCTTGTGGAAGGAGAGCGTGGACATGAGGGGACATTCTGGGGTGCTGGTCGTGGTCTGGGTCTGGATATGAGAGGTGGTGACATGGTGTATACCTATGTAAAGTTTCATACGTCTGCGCCCCTGAGATCTGTATGTGACTGTATGTATGTTAAGTCATGTCTCAAATTTAAAGGAAGAAATTACTCCATGATCTGGGGGCAGGCGGAAGGGAAGGATTCCCAAAACTTGGAAAAAGTTAACAAAGGTAGACTGTTACCCCAGATCCTGCTTTATCTCATTTGTCTTAGGGATGGCATTTTTCACGGGTCTTCCTGACTGGAGAAAATGACTCCAATTCTGGAA